ATGAAAAAGGAAAATTTATGTGGTATTTAAAATAAGCGAAACCGGGATTTTGTCTGGGCGTTGAATCATAAGTCTCTGCAGACATTGAGTTATCATTCGCTATTTTTCTTCAAACACATTGTTCGAAAGCCGTGTCGAAGTAGCGTCGTGTGTCCTCAGCATTATGTCGACTTGAAGTTTCAAACGTTCAGAATCGCGCGCAGTATTCACCACACTTCAGCCGATATAAACGTTAATAGAATGAAAAAAGCAAATCGGGAATGACCAGGTGCCGTTTTTGAGATGTGCGAATGTATCGGTATAAACTTGACGACACGAAATCTGTGCAGTGTCGTAAACAAACGTTTTGATGTGATAAATTCTCATTAAAATATTTGTGACTGTGATTTATATGTCTTGGTTGTGTCAGTGTTGTTACTGCTCTGAGGATTTAATGTTAACGGATTGAAGGTTTGGTAAATGTCTTTGAATATTCGCGTGTAGATTACTGATATGTTACGAGTACAATCTAGCTTATCCTATATCAATCAATAATCTTAAATACCTAATAAAATAATCATAACGTGTAAATAATTTTTACACTGCACTTTTATTAAAACAGTCAAAATACAGAAACGTTATTATTTACATCTAATTAATTATTTTCCTCTTTTGATCGTGATTGAGAAAAAACTGTTTGTAAATGGATAACTGATTGTTTGTCAAAAATCATTGTTGAAAGTAGCAAAATAAAGTGAATTATATTATAATTATAAAAAGCAAATTACTTGCCAAAAACACATGTTTGAGCTAAATTTTCTTTCTTTTCTTGGTTATTATTATTTGATATTATTGCTCCTTATATGATCTTTTAAAAAATAGTAAGACTAACAATTTTATAGCTGAAAAACTTCAAATTAACCGGTACAAGTATATGTCTTCCATTATCTTAAAAATACATCAATTTTAAGTAGTCCTTGTTCTTTCTTACTTTTTTATAGCAAAAGTTTTTAGAAATGAGTCTCTGCGAACCATTATACTGATTACTGAGCTGTTTTTATAGTAATACTTCCTACGTTAGCGATTTCTTTTAAATCAGAAGGGAAGGCATAAATGACTTTTAAGGCTTAGCTATCATTAAGCCACGTTATTGCTGTATCTCAGAATGTAATGGAGAGAACGCTGAAGTTAATTAAGAATTTTCAAAAATATGATATCAAATTATTTTCTTTGAATTTAATGTCGTTGCAGCATTATAAGTCCAAAAATAATCAAATACCATATGACATTTCAAGTTTTCTATATTTTTAACCTTTCACATTCTTTTAAGTCTTCTCAATATAGCAGTTATTCCTTTTAATATGCGGAAATATGACAGTTTCTGTATTATTCAACGACGCTGGTAAAATCGCACAGATTTTGATCAAAGGTTACTCATAGTTTCACTACAATTTTTAAGTAAGTATCTCGATATTTTAATATTGAAAAGTTACATGAAACCATTTGGTATATTTAAAAAGAAAAAAAAGTAATTCTTTCTTAGCTAACCGGGCTAACCGGGCTTCTTAGCTAAATCTTCAAAAAAATTGGAAACTTTTTTAGCGATATGTACAAAATGAAAGGAGCTGCAAGCAACTTTTTTTATAACTTCCAACATTTCGAATTCCGAAGTTTCCCTGTTAACGAGAGAAAGATTGTTGCGGACGGAAAATCTTCTTACAGCGAGGCGAGCGAACGGTCACGAGAAAAAATTTAATCATTATTCATGTCATTCGTAACATGTAGCTACACACGTCGCTTCGGAGAATATGAAATAATAAACAAAGGGCAAAAGCGATAAAAATATACTATTTAATAAAATATTAACATTCTCTCTAGAAAATAAGAAAAATTTTCATCTAACTACGAAGCTCCAACCTCATTTTTAATAGTATGCATTTAATACAATCAGTAAACTACTAATTGTTATTTATTGTTTGTCCTGGCATAACATTTAAAATCTTAATGATACTGGCAAATCTTCAATGCGTCGTCTGAAGGGCAATACTACAATTATCTAAATAAGAACAAGGCTTCAATTTATTGTACACATAAATAATAACAAACTATTTCTATGAACCAATATAATATGACATTGCATTGAATTGTGCATTCATAATGCTGTGCTCTCAAAAAATCTACCAGTCCCAAATACCCCGAGATGGGACTCGAACCCATTCGCAATCTGGGCGACTTCTCTGACCACTGAGCTACCCGAGACCTAACTGCGGCTGGTGGATTTCATAAGCATTTTTAATTAAGGAAATAATATCAAGATTCAAGTTGTTTTATTTTGCTCAGTGAATTCGTTTTCAAAATAGGATTTTAGTACAAAAGCAACGTGCTAATAATTGTTCAACAAAGAATAATATTACAACTGCAATCATTAAAAAGAAGCGACAAATAAGATTTTGAAATCAATATACTACATAATCGTTATATGATAAGAACTTTAAGTGTTATTAATGAGAATCAGTGATGCCTCACTGACATCTGACATGTAATCAATCATAAAATATCTATAAATTACTGTCAACGAAGACATGTCAAAAGACAAATCTACTTCAGCCATTACAATTAAAATGAACTTACGTAAGATAAATAAATAAAGCAACTTCATTGAAAAAGATTTATGAAAATTACACGAGTAATTTTCTTAGTAACTACACGAGTTTTATGAACGAAGTAATCGTTTGGATATATTCTTTTAAAAAGGTATCATACCTCTATATGCTTTATTACTTTAAAATCATACTAACTTTGGGATTCGTTTAATTGTATAAATATAAGCATATAAGTAAATGGATAGACTTGATAGCGTTTCAGTAGAATTGAAGTTGAATCAGCATTTCCGGCCGGCCATCCTATGATGGGTGATCAAAACTTGCTCATCCGTATTTCGAAAGGCACGTAAAGTCATTAGTCCCGACTACATGTGCAGTTACAGCACTGTTAACACCCGCAAATCTGCACTGGGATCGCATAGAGTTTATGACCCGATAGGTCTGTACCCCAGACGTGGGGACACGATTGTATTTATATAAATAAATAAGGCATGTGGAAAATTATTTCTTCATCAATATCAGAATTGCTTACTCCTTATCTCAGATAATCATAAACTATAACACCTCAAGTGTGAAAAAAAAAGAAAATTTCTAAGGAAAATGTTCGCAGCTTGTGGTAGCACTCAAAGAAACTTTCGACGTGTAGCATATGTCGGAAGCTATCTGTCATCTGCAAAAGTTTGGTCGAATCAATGACGAATATACAGATAAATAGATGTTTCGAGAAACTATGCATAAACAAAATATTTAAACTAGAAAAATATTTATTCTTTTTGATATATTGTTGTCGATGTTTCTTCTTATTAAAGTGTAAACCAAGAAATGAATAAGTGAATTTTATATTTTCACAACATCAAAGAGAAGTATTATTCTTAATGTTTTACTTATTCCAGAATAATAAAAATATCTGTCTTATCTATTGATTATATTATTATCTTTCTATTGATTATATTATAAAAAAAAAATCAATACATTGAAATTGCATTTACTTTACAGGTATAATCGTCCCCAATCTCGTTAATTACGTCCGATCAATCTTTTCATTTAATAATAGACTAACCTATTTTTTTATAACAACTAGTCCCAATAGCCATTACCCAGCCACTTCACAAATATTATATTATAAATAAGATAATTTTTAACTTTCCGACAGCTTTTTGAAATTAATTTTATGTAATTACAAAAGATCGATAACCTGAACTGTAGTAACTATTATAAGTAGTGACGACTCACGAGCTATAAAATAGTTACTATAGCCTAGTGCGGATTCGTGGTTGTCAATCGCAGAAGCAGCATGGACCAATGGAACACGCCTTCCGAGGCACGGACGAGCTCGAAGTAATAATTTTGGTCAATCTCAAAAATTGATTTTTGGTCACCCATCCTATGACTATGAACAGTAGGGTTACCACCCGTACTTTATAATAAAGTATTATACGTTATTTCAGACAATTGTACTCTATACTCTATAAGAAAAATAAAATACACGAAAATACTTTATGTCGTATGATTTGATTTGTTTGTGATTTTGAAGCTTAGTCGTAAGTATTTTTTCGTTAAATAAAATTTATCGATTCATGCTGAATAGATAAATAAAATGAAAATGTATTTTTAAGTTTAGTAATAAAGAAAAATAAATAATACTTTATTTTGATTCAATTTACTTTGTTTTTGGACCTATAATAACTAATGTACTTTAATTGGGAGAAAAAAAGGTGGCAACCCTAATGACCAGTCTTTGCGAAAGTTACTCTACTTCTGCCTCGCAGGACAAACGTGTTAACCTAGCCAAAGCTATAGATAGTAGCTACTTTGCTTACAATATATATCGTTTATTGTTGTATACAGTCAATTTACACGGCTTTATTTAGAAAAGTAGCTGAAACTTCTTATCACAATGTTCTTAACTTAACATCAATTTATTCATAACAAAGTAGGTAGGTACTACCTACTCTGATTTGATCTAAAATAGAAACGGGGTCCTCGTTTCAAGACAGCTTAGGTAATGCGATTTGGGAATACCCTTATTTGTTATTGGTTATATATTCTCTAGTATAAAACAAAGATCAGAATCAGAATAAATGTATTTGATCCAGAAGACTTATATTATTAGTTGAAATTTGTTCAACATACTAACAGGATTTTAAAATTTCTTTTCGTATAAGTACCTATTTATAATTGTCTACATAAATATGCGTCAATTTAAATTTTGCTAGGCATAATATAACCTGGTTGTTTATGAATAATAAATCTTTATTTTGCTACTTCTAAGTAAAAATAATAACATGGACTACAACGTAATTTATTGAAATTAATCACACGAACAAATTTGTTAGCCGCGAATAATTATTGCTAAAACAGTTTTATTGATAAAAATGTGACTCTTGCTCGCAATAAGCGACATCTTTGTGGCGATAGGGGCATCGTTCAGTGTGTAGACAAAACGAACGTGCTTGAGATGTTGCCAATCGCCGAAGCGGAGGAGGGCGCCACCGCGCAGGTGTCAGTAGGTCGACACCGTCGTACAAGAGATCGTGTCGTTACTGCTGAAATGCGTGCGGTGCGACGCCGGCGTGGGTGGACGGTTGTTGGCTCTGAAACTAGGTAAGTTGGCCTGATCAACACAGATGGCGCATTTCATAACATATCACAAGAATATCTGAAGTCGTAAACGAAAAATTAAAAGCAAAATCCTCATTTCCCACAACTCAATTGAGGTTGGAATTCTACGTTATTTACATAGATGGCAGGCTGGCTGCTTGTTTTGACTTAGTGTTAAAAGCTATACTCAAACCCTTTATGATAATAGTAAAATTTAGTAATTTAAATTTTGTTCAAAATTTGATTTTTGTTATAATTCCATGTCTTTATGCCATAGATATTTATAAGAAAAACTAACACGTTTTATATCGACCCCCAGGGGTTGACAACTGAGTACGAAGAGTTCATGTGAGCAAAAAGTATAATTGAAGGTGGATTTAAAACGAGATATCTACTATAGAGAATGTCTTTTCACACATGAGTTGTTTCTTAATTATACTAAAAAATACATTGGCCTTACTCAACACCATACATCATGAGGAAACCAAATAGTTTGTTTATGAACCTTCGACATAAGTAACTTCCATATAAATGGTTGTAGATTTGTTAATTAAATAGCTGGTTTGTAATAGCGGTTTCATTAGATATAATTTGAAACTTAGAGATTTTTATTTTTAGTCTCTTTTAGAGTTCCATACCCAAAGGGTAAAACGGGAACCCTATTATTAGGATTTCGATGTCTGTCTGTCTGGCCGTCTGTCACCAGGCTGTGTCTCGTGAACAGTGAAAGTTACGCGGTTGAAATTTTTACAGATGTGTGTTACTATTACTTCTTCAACAACAAATACTAAAAGCCGATAATAAAATAAATATTTAAGGGGCTCCCATACAACAAACGTATTTTTTTGCTGTCACCAGGTTGTATCTTATGACGTGTGATAGTTGAGATGTATTTCTGTAGCCGCTATAACAAAAAAAAAATCAAGTATTTAGAGTGTCTACCTGTTGCCGTTATCAATATCGTAGCAAACACAAGCATAAAACACATTTGTGGTATATGAACTCCATTGAATATTTATTTTATTCTATTTTTTATATCTGTTGGTATAGCGGCAACAGAAATATCATCATCTTCATCAGCTCTTTTACGTCCCCACTGCAGGGGCTCAGGCCTTCCTTATGGATGGTTAAGGAGGATGGGCCACGACCCTCCATGCTGGCCCAATGCGGTTTGGAGGGTATTAACGACTGCAAATGCAGCCGGGACCAACGGCTTAACGTGCCTTCCGAAGCACGGAGTAGCTCAAGATAATAATTTTTTGGTCACCCAACCCGTGACCGACCCTTGCGAAAGTTGCTTAACGACAACGATCGCGGGCCGCGGCACTTATCCACTATGCCACCGAGCTGCTTATATATATTATATTAAGTATAAAAGAAATATATCATCTGTAAAAATTTCAACTCTCTAACTATCACGGTTTATCAGATAAGGCCTGGTGACAAACAAATGAACGGACGGATGGGCAGCGGAGTCTAAGTAATAAGGTCCCGTTTTACCCTTTGGATACGGAACCCTAAAAAAGACTGATAGTTCTTGGAGGTAAAGTGAATGAGAAGTGATTACTATAAATGTTTCCAAGATATTTAAAAAAAAATATAAAAGAAATCAAGATTCTATTCACTTTGAAGAAAAATAAGCAAACAAAATCATCGTATTTTTATCGACCAAATTGACGCATGAATAATTTATATAAGAAAATACCTATCCTGAGCTTTCACAACATTATTTATTTAACAGTAATTTTTCTTGAGTCTTTTTATATGATGTCTTTTTATAATAATATTTATTTAGAACTAGCTTTCCGCCAGCGATTCGCCCGCATGTTATGTGGGGTAAACAGTAGTATATTATAATAATTCAGTAAACAAAAACTAACTACGCATTTGAGTCTACTAAAATTAGTAGTAACGAAGTGTCATACAAATTCTCAACCCGAAAAAACCGAATATCAGTCGAAAAAGGTCGAATATCGCAAAATCCTCTGTAAGCGAGAGTAGGTACCTGAATATTTACTTCACAACATATTGAACATTGCTAATGAGCAGAAAAGTATTTCTAATCAATGTTATACTTGATTATTCGAAATGAATCGAAGTAATATTTATTTCTATATATCGAGAGAGCCTCACCTGAATATTATCTGGAGACTACTCTCGGCCCGACGTAATTGCCAATTAGCACAAGCTTGAACACGGACTTAATACACTACAGCTTACATTTTCACGAATTCCGTTTTTATTTCTGTAATGTTCTTTTTATATCAGCAGCAAGAAAGTTTTTGAGATTTCTTTTTAAAGAATTTATATACTTCTGTATGACGCCATAATTGGTTGCTTAATTTACCACAAGAGTTTAATGCCTATTTGGAATGTTATTGACATTATATGTAGCAGAATCAACAGTTTAACGTGCCTTCTGAAGCACAGAATTAGAGATAATAAATTTTTGACCACCTATCCAATTACCGGCCTAAATTTATAAAACATTTTTCTATAAATAAAATGGAAAACCCAAATGGGCATTACTCATTCACAGCGTAATTCTATAAACTGTTGCTCCGGAGAGAGTAAAAACGAGGCAACGACTCAAAGGAAAATTGTGTCGAATTAAAACTGTTTTTAATGGCAACGTCTGCGAAACTCGAGTCATCCACTTATTTTAACGACGGCTTTACAAAACTTTTGAAAATGAGCAAAATGTCATAACCGTCATCATTTATCTGACTGGCAACATTAAGGAACAGTGTTGTTGCAAGAACTGAAACTGAAACCACGGACTTCTTATATGTTGCACTATATTTTAGTTTTTTTTTCATTAAATATATTGTGTTGTTTCATTAATTATAGGTTGGTTCTATTATATTTTTTTTTCAAAAATTATCCTCTTCGCCTATATTTAAAATTCATTCTCATTCCCTTCTCAGAAAGAGTATTTTTGCTCTACCATATCTGAGCGCAAAAGCCGTTTTTATCTGTTGGAGGACAAAGTAAATTTATATTTAAAACGTCACGTGAACTTAGTTTGTCAGTTCAAAACATCAACTTCTACCTGTGTTGAGTTTATCGTACAATTTAATTAATTTGTTAAAATATTAGAATCGGAACCTTCTCGGAGTACTTTTTTTAATTTTAAGTTAAAAACAAAAAAAAAACTTGAAGACAAGTAAAAAGCCTATTTAAAATTAATAATTCTAGCGACGAATAAGTTTATTTGACGCCAACAGAATTGATTACCACTTGATTGTATTCGACTAAAAGATAAAGTAGCTAATTAACAATTTAAATGAAATGATATACCTAAAATAAGCTTTCGTTTACTAACAGACAAGAAATAAAAAGGCAACATGCAAAACTTAAATTCAAGAATATCTACTTCATTTTAACATCACATGTACATTTCTAGCTCAAGAGGAGAGTACTGACATCGTTCTTGTTACGATGTGTGAAATATTTTAGTACTTATTGTTTACACCCACTTGCACACTAAAGTTTATTGGTAGTGTAAGTGCTTCGTCTGAGGTTTGTTCTAAAAGTTTTGCGTACAGTCACATGTTATCTGAATCAGCCAAAGAATCATACACAATAGTGAGAAATTCATAAGTAATGGCGTATTAAATTTCTTTCAGTATCTTCTTTAGATTCCTTTTATAGGCTCGTCATTTGACAGAAGCGCAACTAAAACACTTCATTGTGTAAGCTCTAATTATTAGGGTTCCGTAGTAAACAAGGAACTTTTATAGTTTCGCCATGTCTGTCTATACATCCGTCCGTACGACCGTCCCTTAAGCGGTTTAGCTCAAAAATTATTGATACTAGAAAGCTGTTATTTGGCACGAATATACACGTTGATAACGCCGTCAAAGTGGTAAAGTAAAATTAAAAAAAAAACATAGTTAAAGTGGGAAATATTTTTTTCGTCTTCCCCATAGTGTGGATCATGGATCATCGTTGGATAGGTATTTCAAAAACATTTGGGATGGGAAAAGGTAGTTTTTTCGGTTTAGTAAGCCGTTTTTGACTTATTAAGCTTTAAAGAGCTAATTTTGGTTAGAGTCAAGTGCCCCCCCTCTACCAACTATACGGTCTTTAGTAAAATTTCAAACGTTACGACAAAAATACCTATACATAATGAAGTTATAAGTAAAACTATCACATTTAAGTTGGCTTTACAAGTTTACGAGTAATAGTCAACCAATTGTATTTACATCGAACAACCATAGAAAACAACAGATGTGATCTGTCAAATCGCCTGCCGTCTTTACAAAATCTTCCATATTTTAATTTTCTCATCGAATAAACCTTATTCGGACTTTCGAATATTGGAAACATTAATCAAATTAGTACTTCCCTTTTATTTTTTATACAAATGCGATATTAATTATAAGATACATTTCGAAAAAGAAGCAAAAAATTTATAATCTAACTCGATAGGTTAATAGTTAGGTTTTTTGACAATCTATATTAATACCCATTTCATACAATCTAATATAATGCAACGCGAAATTTTAAAAGTATATATAAAAATTTATGATTATTTATGATAATTCTAGTCATGTCTAAAGTACGAAATAGCAAATTATGTTATCTTTAAATCTTAGGATTTTCTGTAGAACCTTGCTAAAACTATTTACCAATTTTAATGGTAAACGTACTCACTATTTAGTGATTGTTCATTTCCACCTTAAGCATCATGAGCTCTGTAAATCCTATGTAGAGAAGTTCAAATATACAACGGGAGAGCAATTTTTTTTCTCTACCTACTATGTTCAAATGACCGTGTGCAAGAAATTCCACACAATTCAAACAGTCAAAGCTCGACAGACCAACTCTTTTTTATACAATTTTTACATTTACTATCTCATATTGGTAAATCTAATTTAATAGTAAAACCAAAGATCTACAAAATACGGATTTTACAGTAACATACAATAACCAACTGTTAAGCAACTTCCACAAGTACCGATCATAGGAAAAGAGATCAAAAATTGATTACCTCAAGCTGTT